TGTTTTTTAAACACTGTAATCGATTACACAATCCTAGTAATCGATTACACTGTTTAAAAAACAGCAAAAAATAATGCTTTTAATATGTTGTAATCGATTACAATATACTCGTAATCGATTACAACATATTAAAAGCATCAGTTTTTTGCATTGGTGTAAATAATAAAATAATCCGGGCCGGCCCGCCGCAGCCCGCTTTGGGCGGGTTTGGGCCTCATTTTTAGCAACATAAAATATAACCGGGCTTTTTAGCCCGGCTTGTTTTAGCCCGAATCAAAAACAGGCTAGCCTGAACCCGTCTGGGTAGCCCGTTTTGACAGGTATAGGTTGGGGTGTGCTTCTCTCCCGTACCTGAGAGACCAATATTGGGCTCAGATCCTCACATGTAATATCCAAAAAAATTTAAGGGTCCATATTTATTTTTATTTTTAAATTAAATAAATAAAATTAGAAAAATGTTAATCCCTCATATTCCAGTACCGGAATATAGGAGTTATGTTTACATAGGTTGGAGTCAAAAATGTTAATAAAAATTAAAATTGAATCTAACCAACCTTACCTTTGTGAACAAACTCTTTAGATTATGCTTCATTATTGGTATGGCCTAGTAGTCAATAGTAGGATGAATTATTTGTATGGATGCCGTTAGTGTTGGCCACCAACCTATTACCTTGAAAACCTGCACCTAACTTATCTCTAGTACTAACAATTTTCTTCAAATACCAATTCACATTTTGAGGTAATGAATAGTACCACAAGCTTTGTCCTTTGAGGTAAATGGTGTTAACCCATTCAACCCACAACATGTTAGTTTTTTAGATGGAAGCCCATCACAGCCAAGGATCATTTGTCCCAGAATTTTTATAATTCTATGTTTCTAGATAATCACATTTCACAACTACAATATTAATTTCTGTTTTTATAATTTTTCTTTTTAAATGAATGAAGATTTCTAATTGGCTTGAGACACAAAATAAGACATGAATGGAGACATGTGATATTATCTACCCATCACTAGTCATTTCATAATTATTGATACACAATAAACACAATTTAGTATATGTTACCAAGGCTATATAATGGAACCATGTAATTATGTGCCATTTGGTTCCACAATTTGCTATTCCTATGTCTATAACCTATTATGCATTCCTGTAATGCAACTCGTTAAAGGAGTATGATTGCGTTTGCTGCTTTTCCAAAGAGGAAGTCTTTGCAAATTCTTTGAACCTGCTTGATTATTGTATTTGGAAGTAGGAAAATACTAGCCCAATAACCGTGCATTGTCAGCAAAACTGAGTTGATAATTGACTTTTTTAGGCATAAGATAAATGATAATATGTAGTCCCATTATTTGAAATTGCGGTTGCGAGTATAGTAACGGTTACAGTTATTGTGATTACGGTCACTACTGTCACAGCGATGCGGATTGTGTCTGTTATGGTATGAATTATTTTTTGTTCAAAACAATATTTTTGAATTTGATGCAGTCCAAATGTGGTCCGATGCAGTTGCTTTGCGGACAAATACGGTCTGTGATTCAGAGTCACGCCGTAATTGCGGTGGTATGCGGTTGCGGCAGTCACCGCAACTACAATATTACGACCACATCAAATAATGCAGTCCGCAGTTTAAATCAGTGGATAGTCTAATTTTTATGTACTTGAAGTTCTATTTTAATTGATCTAGAAACTATATTAGTCTCATCCCCTAGTCATTCTTACCTCCTTCTCTTTAATCATGATATATTTCCATTGTTTGTATATCATCACCTCTATTAAAGTTCAGATTTTGATGCTCAATACCGGAATAAGATATCGACAGTCCAAACAGGTACAAATGAGTGGAGATCTTTTATACTATAATTTATCTATCTCTCTATACTAAACAATGTAATCATGTCAACTAATAGTAGTTATTGTTTCTTGATAGATGATAAAAAAATTATTAGCATTATTTTATTAGTTGACATGATTCCATTAGCTTAATATAGAGATAGAAAAATAGTGGTATAGAAAATATTCCCGGGATATAAACTAGGTGCAACAGAGGTGGAAGTGATTTTTAACTTTTTTTATACTCCTTAATTGATTATTCCATAGTGTGAAGTATATAATTGAAATTGCTACCTATGAGATTAATTGGTCTCAACTTCACCCAAAATCTAGTTCATTCGGGAGAATTGCTTATTATTATAAATGACTTGATTCATATTAATACTTTATGCTTTAACTTATTCTTCATGCTCAACAATGATCCATCTTATTATTGAATCTAGTGGTGAGCACGACCTCACCTTACATGCATACCATGTGTTGCCTAATTATGATTGAGTTTGAATATAGTCAGTTTTCATCGAGCTTGGGGTCAGGTTCGGACTCAAAAGTTAAACTCGACCAATATTTAAGGTCAGGTTAGAGACAAGCATGATTCAACCCAAGATCATTCATTCGTTATATTTGTATGTGTCTATTCAATTGTGTACAGAGTAATGATATTTCTTTGACCGGAATTATTATTAGTTCTATAATATTTTCATCATATATGCATATATGTAAGCGATTAACAAAATATCTACAAATATATCATTTCATATGTCAAATTACATATTCATAATAATAAATAATATTAAAAATATTTTATCTAAAATAATATCAATTATATTTAATCAATTTTAGAGTTCAAATTCAGATTCAAGTTCAAAAGGCAGATTCAATCGACATTTGTGAACATCACAAGACAGCATATAAAAGTTCCGAACAAGTGCAACCTCAAAAATACTGGAACGTCCCTATCCATCAGTCAAATCCTCACTTATGAGACAAATGGTGGGGACTATGGACCAAATTCAAAAACTAACCTTCCAATAATGGAAGTGGGACTAGGCTATTTGGTGGTGGAGCATGTTTTCCTCAAGTGGAAACAGTAACAACGATGTTGCTTTAATCTCTCTATGTTTTTTTGTTTCTCTCATCAATTTCGTTCAATTATTATTCAATTACAGGCCCACATGATGTTTATGTATTACTTTCTCAACTGAAATGTGTGCCACAAGTCCCACTAACTTTAATATCCTTAAACCCTAACCTGAATATTCAACCTAACTTCTGTTCATTCATTAAATTTTTTATACGTGTTATGAATATATATATATATATATATATACTTTATTTTTAACTAGTTAAGTAGTACAATAGTGATAATTAGCATTTCTTTGTAATTCTAAAATTATAATTGCAAGTAAAAGTTTGAAAGTGATTGTTATCTATATCGTTTGATTTCTGTTTCTTTTCTAAATTTTCATTGCTTATTTTATATCATTAATTACATAGGTCGTGTAAGGTGAATAAAAGGGTAAAGTGAGAGTTATTACTATTTTTTTAATTTTAATAAATTCAAAATTTAGGTAACTTTTAATAACAAAAATAAATCTTATTTTTTTTAAAATTTATCTATATATATAAATATATGATGATGGAAAAACTTTCAAAATACAAGTTAATAGCCACGTCAACATGTAAAATCTTCATTGGGTAATTTCAACATCTTGGAATATAAGAATATAATTATAAATATAAATATAAGAAATTTATATATTACATAAATATATTTATGACTAATCATAGCGAACAAAATATATTAAAATATATATTAAAGATAAACTATTGCATTCAACTTTTTATTATTGAGGTTTATCAATCCACACACATATATTACTGGTAAAGTTCAACTCTGTAAAATAAAGAGAACACAAATGTCTATGGCAACGCATATATACTTTTAGAAACAAAATCTAGTTTTTTTTGCGCAAGAAAGTGGTAGAAGAACATATTTAATTGGAGACATGTTCTTTGATGGACAATAGGTGTGGGGAATATTATATTTTGTTAAATTTAAACAAATAGGATATGCCTTCACGTGGACTTATCCTATATATAGGAATAAGCATTTTCTGGCTATTTACGATTAGACAATTTCAGAAAGACTATTACCAATTAGACAATTTTAGAATAGGGAATCCTATGAAATGGTATCTTATTCTCTTTTATAATATATATACTATAAATTTGGTAACTTAGGGATGTTAGTTTAAAATACTTTTATGAGTCTTTAATGGTTCATAAGAACCATTTAATTATAATATTGATACTATGACATTTACATGTAATAAAAGAAGAGATTGAAGAATATCTGGTTCCATTTCGGTATCTCTTCTACTGCACTTTCTAGTTGTCTTTCTTTCTGGTGCACTTTCAGGTTGTCTTTGTTTTCACCTCTCTGCCTACCCTTTATGCGTTCCTTGATGATTAGAAACTTAGTTTCATTCCTTCTCTATGTAACACTGTATTTTCCTTACTCATCCACTAATGATTATCTAATTCTCACTTTGTGTTTCTACTCATGAGATAGCAAAGAATGAAATGACTTTTCCAATGCATAAATGTTCTATTTATAGAAAGGTTTAGGAGGAGTTATTGGAGAAAATAACTCCTTCACTTTAATTGAAACTATCCATGAAGTGAGATGGGAGGGAGTTAACAACACCTCACTAGTTCGATCCATCAATTGCCAACCATCATCACATTAGACACTTTAATTCAAACTAGTAGCTTCCAAGAACATGGACCACCATTGTTAAATTAATCTAACAATCTCCCACTTGGTTCATGTGATTCCAGAAATGTCTGCGATCGAGTAAATAGCTCTACGAACGAATGGATCAGATCGAATTGGAAAACGCTAAAAGAAAAAAAAAGGGAGTTAATCATAGAAATTTGATTGGATCTTGAATCTTCTTCACCCCTTCCTGTGCCAATAACTAGAATGAAAAAAAGGGTTAACCCTATGGAATCGATTTGAGTTGCCATACCACTCGCACTAGTATACGAAGATGATGGCGGGATCTTTGCCGTTGAGCTTAGCGATGAAGAAAGATCTTTAATTGCGTATGGAACGAATTCACCGCCGTATGGCTAACCGACGATTACTAGCGATTTCGGCTTCATGCAAGCGAGTTGCAGCCTACAATCCGAACTAGGGACGGGTTTTTGGAGTTAGCTCACCCTCGCGGGATCGCGATCCTTTGTCCCGGCCACTGTAGCACGTGTGTCGCCCATGGCATAAGGGGCATGATGACTTGGGACCCCACTTTCTGCATCAATGTCCGCCTTCTTGTCGTCGAGCGATCCGTTGCGTATATATGAAACTATAGGAACCAATGGAATCGGGTTGAGCTGCCATTATCCGAAGATGAAGGCGAGATCTTTGACATTGATCCTAACAATGAAGATTCATAAAATTACTTTAATTGCGTACTTTTATTGAACTTTACAAATCATCATCCTTAATTGAATTGAAATGATTGAATCATGGCGATAAAAAATTATATGAGGCAACCTAATCCTTTCATGTATCACAACCAACTAACTTTAATTTGAGTCTTCATTTACCTTTCAAAAACTCACCAAGTTATCTCATTAAAACTATACAAGTGCATTATTTAATATGGATAACTTAAACTTTAATTACGAAATGAAACTTTCATTGAATTCAAATGTGTCATACAATGATAAGAAAATATATATACATCATGTACTATCACATTAACAAGAACTTATCTATAATGTCTATCCTTTCTACATGGCCAATGTAAATCTTAGGGGCAATCCTTTAGTTAACGGATCCCATACCATTAGATCGGTATCAATATGCTCAATAAACACCTTCTGTTTATGTACTTATTCTTTAACTGATAGGAACTTTAAATCCACATGTTTGGTACCTCTAGAATACATGTCATTCTTAGAGAAGAAGACAACTGCAAAATTATCGCAATAAAACTTCAGCGGCGTAACTACACTGTCTATAATACCAAGTCCTTAAGTAAAGTTTCGCAACCACAATGCATGATTTGTGGCCTCAAAGCATGCCACAAACTCAGCCTCTATGGTGGACGTAGCAATTACAGACTATCTACTGCTTCTCCATGATATGGCTCCTCCAGACATTATGAAGACATACCCAAATGTAGATTTCCTTGAGTCCACTCATCTTGCATAGTCTGAATCGGAATAACTGATCACCTCAAGATGATTTGACCTTTTATACGTGAGCATGTGATTCTTAGTGCCTTGCAAATATCTTAGAACTTTCTTTGCAGCCTTGTAGTGGTCCATTTCGGGTTTACTTTGATATCGGCCTAACATTGCAACAGCAAAACTGATATCCAGCCAAGTGCATGTCTGAGCATACATTAAACTCTCAACCACTTATGCATAGGGAATAGATTCCATTTCCTTACATTCCAAATCATTTCTTGGACATTGTTTTTCACTATATTTGTCCCATTTCTGGATTGGAACAATCCATGTGGAGCACTTTTCCATTCTGAATCTCTCTAATACCTTATTGATATATATTTTTTCTGAGAAAATCCCAACAATTTTTGTGATCTATTACGGAAGATTTATATTCATATCACATAGGATGTCTCACCCATATCCTTCATTTCAAAATTATTAGCGAAAAACTTATTTACATCACATAACAATCCTTTATCATTTGCAGCAAGTATTATGTCATCAACATATACGACTAATATTATAAACTTACTCCCATTGACTTTCAAGTAGATACATCTGTCAACAGTGTTTTCTACAAACTCATATGACCTAATGGTATCATTGAACTTTATATACCATTGTCTAGAAGCCCTTTTCAGTCCATATATTGACTTATTTAATCTATACACTAGATTTTCCTTTTCTATGGTCACAAACCCTTCAGGTTGGTTCATATAAACTTTCTCTTTTAATTTACCATTCAGAAAATCTATCTTTATGTCCATTTGGTGAAACTCTAAGTCATAATGAGCCACCAAAACCATAACAATTCTTAAAGAATCTTTCTCAGAAACTGGAGAGAAATTTTCTTTATAATCAATGCCCTCTTTTTGAGTGAAACCCTTGGCGAAAAGTCTAGCATTATATCTTTCAATGTTGCCTTTCGAGTCATGCTTGGTCTTAAAGTCCCATTCAGAAAATCGATATTTTTGTCCATTTGGTGAAACTCTAAGTCATAATGAGCCACCAAAGCCATAACAATTCTTAAAGAATTTTTTTTAGAGATTGGAAAGAAAATTTCTTTATAATCAATGTCCTCTTTTTGAGTGAAACCATTGGCGAAAAGTCTAGCCTTATATCTTTCAATGTTGCCTTTCGAGTCATGCTTGGTCTTAAAGTCCCATTTTCATCCAACTCATTTTGAACCCTCAGACAACTCAACTAGATCCCAAACTTTATTATCGTTCATTGATTTCAACTCTTCTTTCATAGTATTGAGACACTTTTCAGAATTGTCATTTTCCATGGCTTGTATGAACGAGACTGGATCCTTATCAATACTCAAGTCACATTCATGTTCAAGCGAATGTACAATATAATCGTTAGAAATAGTTGGTCTTCTTTGGCTTTCGGACCTTCTTAATGTTATTTATCTCGGTTCTTCCATCACTCGATCATTAATGACTTCATTAATCTTGTGGGTTTTAGATATTATCTTGTTGTCTCTGTGGTTATTTACAGTAATATAACCAAAGGAACAACAACTTGAGGAGACATCTTTGGTGAATAAGATTTATCTGAAGTTTCCATAATATCCATCTTTCATGATTTATCACTCCCACTGGTTTGACCATTCTCAATGAACCTAGCATTTCGAGACTCAACTATTCTCGTATTATGGTTAGGACAATAAAATTTGTACCCTTTTAACTTTTCTGGATAGCCAATAAAGAAACCACTTATGGTTCTTGCATCAACCTTCTTTTGATGTGAGTTGTTCACCTTTACTTCTGCTGGACAGCCCCAAACATGTACATATCTAAAATTGGGTTTCCTACCAGTCCAAAACTCATAGGGAGTTTTAGGAACTGCCTTACAGTAAACCCTATTCAGCAGATCCGCAATGGTCCTTAATGCGTACATCCACAACGATAAAGGTACATCACAATGACTGAATATTTATATAACCATTTCCATTAAAGTATGATTTCACCTTTCAGCCACACCATTTTGTTGCGGTGTGTAAGGCAAAAGTATATTGAGCACATATGCCCTAACCTTCGAGAAACTTTGCAAATGGTCCTCGACATTGTCCATTCTCATTATACTTTCCATAATATTCATCACCTCTATCAGACCTCACAACCTTAACCTTTTTTTCAAGTTGCCTTTCAACCTCGTCAATGAATACCTTTAGGACATCCAATTATTGATATTTTTCATGCAACAAATATAGGTAACAATAAAGTGATGAAATAATTTTCACCAACCCAAGATGGAATATCAAAAGGATCACAAATATGTTTGTATCAATTCAAGAAGTGTATAAGTTGGACCATGTTAACATTATAGGTAACAAAAAGTGTATCAAAACATGGATAATGTCACTGCAACATGGATAGGTAACATGGATCAATCAGGTTGATAGGGTTCTTAAGCTGACTTGGACCATGTTAACATTATTCCTGAATAAGTTTGTTTGGCTAAAAAGATGACATCAAAACATCTTATCAACATTTATAATGTCGCTGCAACTAAAAAATTTAGAACTATATTTACCTAGACCCCAAGCAACTTTTTCCTTCCTTTTCAACCTTAAGCAAATCCAAACAATGCAGGTGGTTATCTAGAAGGACAATACATCTTACCTGAATTCATCTGGCTACCAGTAACCAACCTCATGACATGAGAGGCCCATCCTCCAAACCCAGACGTACCGCTGAACTTTTCCCAAAATCCAGGATGCAAAACCGGGAGATTTCACGATTGGACTAATCTCTACTCATCCCCCTTTCAGATGTAAGAAGTAAACCCTTCAGCAATAATTTATGCTGCCATGGCAAAGGGCAACAGTCTAATGACACAACAACTGGTCGCAGAGGTCTAACTTTGATCTCGAAAAAGGAAACAAAGAATCGAGAAACAAATACAGTTATATAATTCGTCAGACATCACAGTAAGTAATCCATTCATATTTAGAAATAGAGCAGCAAATATCCGGCACATGTATCAAGTAAGCATTAGTTGACTTTCACATCTTGTTTTTATTAACACTTCATCCAGATATGAGAATAAGCATAACAAGTTAAACCATGGTGTCTGCATAGTGCATATTATGGAAGTCAACAATCACAGATTACTTAAAGTTTTAGCACAGAACAAAAGAGAGCATATCTACCATACTAGTTCCTAAAATGAGCTAAGAAAGAACTAGAGAATAGCTGGGTATTGCTTTGCCTGCTGCCGGACCCTTCTCTTATACTCCACTGCATCCTGCAAAAAAAGGATTACAACAAAAGACACAATTTCGATGTTAAGAAGTGAAAATCTCCACCATACCTACTCCGAAAAAATTGGTTGGCATAAAACGTTAAATATCAAATAACCATATTTTCACCACCTATTCATATTGCATCATGCTAAGATTTAAATAGGCGGACCATCATAAATAACAATCCGCAAGGAAGAGGGGTGATATATGGAGCACAAGAACTTGAAAAAAAAATTAGTAATATCTATGAAGTATGGATACCGATATGAGTATCGGATACAATACGTATCTAATACGTCGATATGCATTTTCTTGAAAATGTAGGATACGATATGTTTGGGGTATGCATATAAAATATGTACATAAAATCCATAAAACATAATAGACATATTATGAATTTCCAAATAAGGAACATATTTTGTACACATCACTAAATACAAAATGAAATTCATATTGTCATAAGATGATCAATGTTGTTTAATCGATGATCAACATTATGCATATACATTTCCTATTCATTCTCTGTGCAATACGCAGGTTTTGTTTTATATCTCTTACTACAAGTCCACTTGGTAGATTGCATATTATGTTTATGTATTACGTATTTTTCTCTTTTAAAATGTTATTGTATGGTATTTTAGATGTCTATGAGGTATCAGGAAAACATTTTAAGAGTATCGGAGAGACGGAGACTATCCAGAAAGTATCGGATTTATAAATTATTTTTCAAAAATATAATTTCGATATTCTATGGGTACATATCGATGAAGTACCGGAGAGTATCAGTGTCGGATACGTGTCGGACACAATACGTGAAGGTTATTAAAGTGTCGGTGCTTCATAGAGTAATGTTACTGTTTCACCCTTGCCTTGATTATATTAAATAAAACACTCTTCAAAGTTTGAGAGTGATGATAAATGAAAAATGTTGAATTTCTTAGGTTAAGTACCTGGATGAATAGATGATAGCCTTCAGTCTGGGCAGGATCAGCAGGATTTGGCTGGTCAAGCAAGTCTTGGATGCCAATAAGAATTTGCTTCACTGTTATGGCTGGTCTCCAGCCCTAAATGTAACAATGATTCCATAAATTTGCTTGCTCGACAAATAAAATTAAACTACATAAATTAGTTTCAAGCAGTCCAGAAATTCTGAAGACAGATGTACTTACGCTATCCTCATTAAGAATAGACAAGCAAACGGTTCCCGATGGGTAGACATTCGGGTGGAAGAAACTTTGTGGGAATTTACACTTTGGGGGCTTGCTAGGATAGTCTTCACTAAAGTTCAATGTAAGTGGGAAGTAGCCACCCTCCCAATCAGTCTGAAGCAAAATGGCATGCAAAATTATTATGTGAATAACAGGCTCACGTTTCAATAAGCTGATATACTCTTTGCTAATCAATCGAAGGCATGAAGTCAGAGAACAAAATATATCGCATTCACAAAAAGCTTTCACGAATTAAAGACTCAACTAACTTCTACAACCTTGGCATATCTAAGGTTTCAATAAGCTGATATACTCTTTTGTTAATCAATAGAAGGCATGAAGTCAGAGAACAAAATATATCGCATTCACAAAAAGCTTTCCCGAATTAAAGACTCGACTAACTTCTACAACTTAGATATGCCAAATGCAAATGAACAAAAAAACAGTCATCATTGAGCAAATATTGTTGATTTTGTGCTGAACATCCACTGCTTAAATCTAAGCATAACATACAATTCCATTCAATTTTATAGATACTTACCATTCTGCTATTAATGAGCTTCTCAAGCATGAACTAGCATCAGAAACAAAGAAAATAGTGTGTAGCATGCACTGTCAAATGTTTGACTTTGCATTTGTTAGATGCTACCTTATTTAATTTTATATTTTTATTCTTAGATGTATTAACATATGAAATTTGTATCTCTGTCTTGTGCTGTAACTGGGCTAGGGTTTATTGTAGGTGTTAACAGGTTCTTATATGTGAAGTTCCTTAGTTGGGTTATTAGGGTAATGGAGAACCCCGTTCCTAAAGGAATAAGATTCCATTGTCAATACTTAAATGGTAAGTTAAAGTAGGCCAATTAAGCAATTTTGATAATTACTTTTTGGAGATGATCTATTGAGCATATTTATTAATTATGGCAGCATATTGCTCTCCATGATTATGTGACGCAATCAAACACAAGGAAGGTATGATCCCTAGGTTATCTTCCCAAATTACGTTATTTAATTTTTATTTTCTACCCTATGTCCCTATCATACATGATTTTTTCAGCAGTTGTGGGGAAGGCATTAACATTAGTTCACCCTGTAGTAGAAACTTTGTTCAGTTTGTCCCACAATCCCATCATACCAAAAAGTTAAAACTCCTTAGCGGGTTAGTTAAACTTCAATTTCAACTGATACAATGTGGTCAGAACTCGGAAGGAATTGACATGAGCCGCCAGGATGAATCAGCATCTCTCGCCAATCAGAACACTTCCCTTCAACAAGATGCATGCCTTTAGTGTCTTACGGACAACCTTAGGATAATTGTAAAATAACCAAAAATGATTCCTGCCATGTAACTCACTAACTGCGTAAAATAATAAGACTGTTTAAAACAACAAACCAATTGTCGGTATTTGAGATTCTTAGGTCTTGGCATCATGCAATCTTTTGTTTTCACTATGAACGTTATTCTTCATTAATTTGTTAATATGCTAAGTTAATGCAAAAAAATCAATTTACTGTTTCCTTTCCTAGCAATTAGCAAGGCATGTTCTCTTGGGCGCCTCTCCCCTCAAGATGCTAAAAATGAAAATCCCGAGGCCCTAGCCCCACCCAATTGACCCACTTTTTCTTGTCGTTGTCATGTTATCTTATTTTCAACAACAACGAAGCCTTATTCCCACTAGACAGCTTATTCCCACCCAATGAGACATTAACATAGAATGCAAACATTGCAAGAACGAAGACATGAAAAAACTTTATCTACGGCGAGAATCATAAGCAACTACACAACAACCTAAAGAAACTCCCAGTTATAACACAGACTCAAGCAACCAAAATTTCAACATAAAAATCTGCAAGAATAACATTACTCTTTCCCCAAAAATAATGAAATAACAAACATTTATATAGGAAAAAATCATTTTACCCAAATCCAGCATTGAAGATAAGTCCTAATTAAAAAAAAACAACCATACACAATAAAAAGCAAACGAAAAACTAAAATTACAAAATTTGAGAAGTTTCATTCAAAATCGTGACTTATAAACACTTAAAAAAGAACTTACTCCAGCTTTCCCCGGAATTGTGCAATGCCAAACCATCAAATTCACAGTACCATCAGGCAGAGTCTCCGGCTTCGCAACAAAACCCTGATTCACAAAAAAACAACACCGGAATTAGAATAAAAACCCAATAAGGCATTGGTCTAGCAGTATAAGGCTCCGCTAGATCCCAAACAGACCAAAATGTCAAGTGTTCAATTCCTGGGAAGGAAACACTTGTTTGGAGAAACAGTCACGCACTCTGAAAGTATTAAAGTATTCTTTCCTTCCACGTGAGGATATGCTTGATAATACCAAAAAAAGAATCAAAGCCAAAAAGATAAACAAAATGAAAAGGTTTGAGAAAAAGTAAATAAGTAGTGTACGGACATGGGGATGGTTCTTCCGCCATGATTTGCGTTCCTCAGTGAGACGTCCACGAGCAATACCAGACATGTTTCTCGTTCTCTCTTTCCTCCGAGTCACGAACTCAGTATCTATATCCCTCGCTCGTGACTCTGAGTCAACTCAGTACCGTGTCGTTTGGGGTTTCAGATTTTCTATAATAAGCACTGAGGAAGGTTCTTCGATTCTTTGAAGAAGTTGTTGTGCTTGTGCTTCCATCGAAATGTACGGTCATGATTCGATCATCATGAGCGCGTTGATTAGATTTTTGTGCCCATAATATATGGGGTTGTTGGTCATTATATAATGGAATACAGGTTTTGTTGAGTTAATTATATGAATTCATAAGAATAAAACATTATTCCATTCTAGAGAAAACATTTTTATTATTTTGTATATAATGAAATATCAATTTTGTCATTGAAAATATAAAAAGTATATGGTAATTGTCTCTCAATTAATGGAGAGGATTCATACTCATTGTTTAGTATTATGTCTACAAATTATGTATTATAAACGTTTGTGATGGTAAGTGCTTCCAAGGATCACATTATTCTGTCCATATTAAAAACTACAAGGTACAAATTATGTCATTGGTAGTTAGTGATGACAAAATAGACAATAATCTTGATACAATTTTAATTTATTTGCCCATTTTTTTGTCAAACCCATTGACTTCCCGTCTTGGCAATGTCTGGCTTAAAAGCTTAAGTGTAATAGAACTAAAGTTCAAATAAATTCTGATGTAATGTGATACTTTAACAAATTTTTGTTCGACTTTGTATAACATATCAAGTTTTTTTGTTTTCTCTATTTAATTTCTTTGTTTAATTATGAGTATTTAGTTTTATAATATTTTTACCTTTTTTTATTTATCATGTTCTATTATTTATCAAGTATTCTAAACGGGCATGCTCACACTCATACTTGATTTGAGAACACATGTTAAACAGGTCGGACAATCCATTTTGCCATTACTATTGATAGTCGAGTAGTACATTATTTTATATATATTAACCTTTATTAAATGATGGTGATTTTTATTTTAATGATAGTTGGTGTTAAGCAATAGTTCAATTTCTTTTCAAACTATACCTTGAATGTCTAAAAGTTTAGTTCTGAATTGGTATCATGCATCTAAGTAATCAAATTACATAAGATAATAAGAGCACCCGAAATCATGATAAGATAATAGTTTTTTTTATTTTGATATGCAACATGTCCAATTATATTTTTGAACCATCTAATCAAGAATTTAAATTTGTGATGGCTAAATTAAATATTAGTATACAAATAGTGATGGATAAGAAATTTTGAGTCTTTTAATATGCAACATGCCTAGTGATATTTTTATGAACATATATAAGTTCGTGAATTTTTAATCTATGTTAATGTTTATAGGCACTACGGAAATAGAAAGTACACTATTTGAGAAATCTTCTGCATAAATTTCTTGCCATTACTTTCATGGAATAAAAACTTAGTAGTCCAAAACCGAAAGTCCTATCAAATTAGAGGTGTCAAAACGGGCTACCCGGGCGGGTTCGGGCTAACCCGGGCCGGGCTAAAAAACCCGGATACAATTTTTGTATATCAAAATGTAGCTCAAGCCCGCCCTATGCGGGTTGCGGGTTGTAGCGAGCCAGC